GAGAAGAAGTTGAAGAAGATAAGCTCTCCTCAATTATGATTCACATGGGTATTATAATACCCACTAATTATTATTTTATTCTTTTATTTGTTCAATGATCCTTTTACCCTTTTACTTCTCATTCACTTATTAATTCATCCTACACCAACATCTTTTAATTAATTCCTTCACTTTTCAATTTATTTAATATGGTCATTAAATTTTAAAATCTTACACTTTAATCACTAACCCGGTATTGAGGATGTTACAAATCTCTCCCCCTTAAAAAAATTCATCCTCGAATTTTTTATTACATGAACAAATTGGGGTACTGATGCTGCATATCTTCTTCACTTAAAAACAATAAAGATCCTTAAACACTATAATTTCCAATCTCTCTGAACTAATTAACTTTACCATTTCCATTCTACAATCAACATTTGCATACTTGCTATATAACTAGTATATTTCCAATATTACTTCAAATCCCTTAATATATCTTATTTACTTGAGCACTGTGCCTTAAGGGATTTGTATCTATAATATTACTACAAATAACTTTTAATTAAATTCTCAATTCTTTCTCCAATTTACTATTCACATATGAATATACAAACTCATATCAACCAATATCACAACATATTTACTATACAATAAAAAGATACCTACTATCATCTCTGAATCATCACAGTCCTCATTGGTATGAAGATTATATACTCTAGCAGTGGAGCGTACATCCTGTTAAGTAGAAGATTCGGTCTGATTTTTACCTTTTCCTCTATCTCTTCCTCTTTGAGATATTGAAACAAATCGTTCCGACTGTACATACTTTCTTGTCCCTAATAGACAATCTCTCATGAAATGTCATTTTTCTCCACATCGGAAACAGGCTCCAGAATTAACTCTACATGTCCCACCATGATACATTCCACAAATCTGACAATATCTCTGTTGTGCTCTTTCATCACCAGACCTTATCGATTGAGTCTGTCCCACTCTCATCTGATTTGATCCTCTAGCAGAGAATGCCATCGATTCAAATCCTACTTGGGATCGAAATTCAGAATCTCTTCCTCTCTTGGATGGTGCAGAACTTGATGAAGTCCCAATGTTTTTAGATGATTGGCATCCTTGCTCCCCAAATCGTTCATTTTGAGCTCTCTCTAGAGCTTTAGCACGGTTTATCACTTCTTGAAACGAAGACAAATTTAACACGATTAACATTTCTTTGAGCTTCGGGCACAAGCCCTCAATAAACCACTCACATGCATTTTTCTGTAGGCACAAGCTCAGCTGCAAACCGACTCAACTAATTAAATTCACATTCATATTCGTATACGGAGCAATTCATCTGTTTCAAATTCATAAACTCCTGTTTCATTTGCTTGATGAATTGATCTCCAATGTACTTGTGCTTAAATTCTTCCAAAAACAGAGACCAAGTCAACTGGTCACTTGGCATTCTCATGGTAACGTTCATCCACCATATCCTCGCTTGTCCCCTTAACAAAGACACAACTCCATCCAGCTTCTCCACTTTAGAACAATAGAGACCATATAGCATGATTTTCAAATCATTCAACCAAAGATCCGCTGACACCGAACCTTCCTCAGCTTCTCCCATAAATTCGAAAACTCCTAATCCTCTCAACTCCTTTGCTATATTTACTTTGGGAGTTGATGGAGCAGGATGTTGGAAACGTGTCAAGACAGTGTCTAACGTCCTGAAGAAAATATCTTGATCACGTACAGGTACTCCAGATTGTATATGTTCTTCACCTTGCCTGGCCAAGACAGGTGAATGACTATTTTCAGCGGGTCTATCATCTCCCGCATCACTTCGAGAACTATCATGTCCGGACATCTAATAAAATACAACCATAACTCTATTAGCAAAATAGCATACTTGTTACTCTTGTCAGATCAGAAGTTTTCACATCTATATTGGAATATACACCTATAAAGACACTTTAGACTTCGATTTAAGCCTAGAACCGACTAAATCATAGCTCTGATACCATTAAATGTAACACCCCAACCCGTACCTGACCCGAATATGAGTCTGAGATGTCACATTGACTTTTTAAAATAATATTCATATAAAATAACAAAACATGTGAACTTATATTAATAAAATATAATCATATATTGTTGAATTATGTTCATTAAAACCAATTTTGATCAAAGCTTGATCAGAGCTGTACTTTACAAATATGTATCTCCAAGATACAATTTATACATTGATACAATTCCATAAACCATCATCGTTAAGTCGGTGCATCCATAAATAAGTAACCATAGATTTCAGTGTACCACATGTTAAAACAATAAAACAATTTATTAATATATAGGGAACACACTAGATAATACAAGTACTTTTCAGAGGCATTTTGTAGTTATCAGTATGGATAACATGAAACTTGTGCAATTTGATCGGATTCCAGGAACAAGATTCTATTGAGAAGAATCGATTACTAACCGATCTAATCAGACATTTAAGGTTGATACTTTAGAATTCCACTATGATTCATGTGTATTAGGAAAACGTTCAGGAATGACCGGAGTGATTGAGTTGAAAATGTAGAAACAAAGATTCAAGACATTTACAATTTATGTCGATCGATCAGATTATCAAATAACTCGAGTTACACAACTCCCAGACTAATGCATATCGACAAGTCCATTCAATGCCCTTCCAGGGTATTCACTCTTTAATACTAACAATTTTTTTCCATTGATCACCTTCGTAATCATCGATGAATAGATCTTCCAACGTTCTTTATTTCATTTCCACGTTTCAACGATATCAGGAAATACAAACGTACTTGATTCATGATTCATGACCCATAAGAACAATTCATCATGTAAGTTCAACAGTGTTTCCAGACTCATTCAATCCCTTATTTAATCCTCAATAATTGAAGTAACTTAGTTCATTTAACAATCAATTATATCCCGGTTACTTAAGAGTTTTCCAGAGTAATTCAGACATTTCTGAATTTCAGATACATATTATATTTCTGTTCAGTTCAATTTGATCTTCGTAGTTGATTTGTCTAACGAATATCCACTTCTTAGTACTGAATGCAATCTAGAGTTGAGTTGAGCTGAATACTTCTAAATTTATCATTGAGCCAAACTTGAGAAGTCGAACATGCATTCAAGTGGCATCTATGTCGTTCTGGTACTGATATAACACTAGCATTGGTTGCTCGGCTTAATATGTGATCCATAACTTTTAAGAGCAGTACCACACCCATGTTTATTTGGATTTCCTTAATTAATCCAAGACATATACTTAGTCTAGGCCATAAAGATATTTTGGTCATTTTGGTGCTCAATGTTTTTCCATTCATTTCAAAGCTTGAGGATATCCATTCATTCCTAGGCTTGGTGATATTCTTGAGTCATTTCCATTTCAGGGGTATTTTGGTCATTTTACAAATCCAGTGTATTTCAATCATTTCCTTCCATTCGGTCTTATTATTAAATTCAAACTTATCATTTATTTCAGACCTTTCAAACAATTCTGACAAAAGAACACCCCCGATAAATTGTTCTTCATGTATTTACTCATAACTCGGATATTTTTGGGTAAAGTGCCTTCTCAGATTTTACAAACAAAATATCAGGAATTTTTTTTTGCACAAAGACATGATCTTAACAATCAAATCCGTAATTTATCGAGTTAAGTACAAATCCTCAAAATACTTTCTCATTCAGGGTCAACTCGAACTATTTTTATCTCTCAAGGGAATTTTCATAATTTTTTAACCAAATAATTTCAATATTAACTCTTAACGAAAAGAATTATAATTTAGAGATCATATGGTTAATTGCTTTCCTGAACATTCTCTGATCTTGAAATGATTTCTTAACAGACTTTTAATATCTTGCACAAACCCTCTTGGGGTTAAAAATCGGTTATCCAAATTTTCTAAGCAAATTAGCATTTCTTATGCACGTCTGTAGTTTTATCAGATCAATAAGTCTTTTCATAGTCATTAATCAACTTCCAAGGACAATTCTTGTCATTTTACAACATAGGGGTATTTTCATAATTTTACCAAATCGAAGTATTCTCATAATTTCTCATGGATGTACGTTTAACCTTTAACCTTTGATGATATAATTTATAAATTACAGATCCAGGCTGATTCCTTATTACTAAACACAAAACTTGTAATTTAATTCTACAATCCCTCAATTCATATAAAAGTCATATGAATCATAATCAATTACTGAATTTCTACCGTAGTCGGATCGAGTGTAGAAATTAATTAACTACACAAATGAGACCAATATTATCTTATTCATGCATTTACCAATATCAACATGTTCCATAACACATAAATAGGTAGTAAAGTATTACCTCGATTTTTGTGCCATACTGATCGACCATTTAAACTTCATTCGAACGTCCTCGATCTTGAAATCAACTTCCAATAATTCCTCTGATACATATTAACGGAAATTACATAAAAACGGAGCTTAATTCCGAAAAACGGATCGAATCGGATGATAAATCAGTGAAAAATAGCTTACCGGGTTCGAATTTGGTGAAACAGACTTCAAAATCGGACTCAGTCCGTCAACAAACCCAAAATATTACCCTTGAATTCCAGCTCACCAACTTGATTTCTAACTTCCAATATATTTTTTCTAACGAACACAGACAATCTATCGTACAAATACGACTTTAAATAATTTTCCTCCTCATAAAAATAACTTATTAGAATCTAATTAATAATTCGAGAACCCAATTGATAAAACTAAAAACTTATGGAGCCACTATATATATTCAATTACTAAAATCAGGGACTAAATTGATCTTATTGAAACTATTATATCATAATCATAACAATATGGAAGCTAGAAAATAAGGTTAGCTTTTACCAAACTTGGATGACTCACCTTGTAATTTACCCTTTCTTCACTTTATCAATAATTCCCCAAAATCACGTGTGCTCTGTACAAATGCTTAATTTTCTACTTCAGCACATTTAATATATTTAATTTTTTTTAAGCTTTACCGTGCTCTCAAAGTGAAGCAAGAAAGCTTCATCGACCAACAACCAAACGCATTGACCACCACGATGGCCGCCGTCGCCGGTCGTCGGTCTAATCCGTAACTCCACCACTTAAGCATATTGGTCTCCTCGTCAAGAATACGAACTCCAATCATCGAGAAACTCCATGGATAGTCGTAAATCTACTAGAGAAGTTTCGGCCATCGCGAGCTTTAACCTCCCCGATCTCCGTCGTTTGCCGATGGATGGAGTTACTTCCGAGATATGTTGGTCGCCTTGTTGTCGGGAACATCTCCACTGTTGCTATTTCTCGACGGTGGTCCAGATTATTGGAACCGAGTACCAAAAGTTTTGTTGGAATTCTCTCTTTTTTGCACCTCTTGGGATTTGATAGAATCGTTGTTTTGTGTTCGGTTGGTTACAGACAATGATATGATGCAAAGTGGATATGCATCGTCGGCCGTTTGACGTTGTTAGAGCATTATTACCACTGTTACCGGAGGGAAGAATGTTGTTACCATCTTTGTTTGTTCATTTGATTCACCATGGTTGCCGTTGGGAAGCAAATCTGAGACTACTAGAAGGGTGATGACTGTTTACGGAGAGTTTAGGTGGATGGGTTGAGTTCGGTGCTGGTCGGTTCTACTCTTTCGACACCAAGCTGATTCATGTCGGATTAAGTTATTTGATCTGTTAGAAAAGAAATGGTTCATACAACCGGGTCAATCTCTCCGACAATTGTTTTAAAACCAAACCTTACACTGTTACACTAAAACAAATCTTTCAGATATATGATTTACCATTTTTTTCATATAATATAATAATAATAATTGCAGTGGTTGAACAACTCTTCCCATTTCATTTTCCATATTTTAAACTGAAGAAATCTAACCCGGTGTGACATGCAGGGCTGGGCCATCTTTGAGTGCTTACAACTAAGATAGTGCTTATGGTAAAAAGGCATTGATGGTTATGCATAGAGGGATTATGGAGCAGGTTGTTGTAATTCTTTTTCAGTAGCATCACATCTACAAAGAAAAATAATCCCGGGGGGGGGAATAACTATAGTTGTGGTTTCCAGGATAATCTGCCTGTTGTACCTCCTGGATGTTCATCGGAAAACCAGAAACAATTCAGGATTTTATCACGAAGGCAATAGCCGCTCTTGTTTCTGTTGGAATTGTTAGGGATACAGTTCTTGGTAATAATCTTTTCACAGCTGAAATGAGCAAAACATTTGTTAATCATTTTTCTCTTGACCTCTACAAAATATACCATCAATGATCGACTTCATCTGGGTTATTTGTATTTTTTTAACATTTATTTGTTATAGGTAATGTGAAGGATATTGAAAATTCTCTGGCCGAATAGTTGATTCTGACATGCATGATGTTGGCCGTTTCCTAAATTGTTTGTTAGGACTGCCACCTGATATTCAGAATAGGTATCTTGTTGGCTAAATACACATTCTTGTTGTTGTTAGGCTGCATTCTGTATGCTGAATACATGAAATTGAAATGCAGGCTATTCGAGTTGTTCGTAAGTATCTTGGATGTCCTGATTCAGAATGCAAGAATCGAAAGAAAACTTGATTCTGGGATTGTTGACATGAAAGCTAACATCATTGAATTACAAGGAAGCCCAAAGGTTAATTTTTTCTTTCCAGATTTAGTGATTTATTTCATTTAATTAGATTAAGCTAACTGTCGTCTTCCAACAGACTGTCCATGTTGATCAAATGTCTGGGGCATCAACAGTGCTGTTTACTTTCACTTTGGATCGTGGAATCACGTGGGAGCTACTTTTCTTTCTTGCACATGGTTTGTGACTTTGTTTCATTTTGACAATAATAATGATCATAGCACTGTGATTTAATTGTGGTAGTCTGCAAGTACCATGCTTGATGAGAAGAAGAAGGATGGACTTGGTTCAGCCAGTGATGGATTCTATGAATCAAAAAGGGAATGGTTAGGAAGACGTCATTTTGTTCTAGCATTTGAAAGGTATTTGTCTTCCTTCTTGCAGGACTTACTCGTGTAGCATATAGGGTTATGAGTATTAATAACAGAAGTCATAGGCATAATGCGCAGGTATTCAATAGATGGTTCCTTTAATTGTAGTATGTTGTAAACAGTGGTTAAACTTTCCCACTTAAGTTACTATTTTCTCACTAAATTCTGTTTCAGTTCCGCTTCTGGAATGTTTAAGATTGTCCGTCCAGCTGTTGGAGAGTCAGTAAGGTATTCCTTTAAAGCTAAATCGAAACTGTCTCAAATCAAAGTTTGTGCTAGAATTTGTGTACTTAACCACTTTAACTTCAATTTTCAGGGAAATGTCTTTGGCAGAACTGAAAAACAAATACAGAAGATTTTCATTGCTAGAGAAAACTCGTTGTGGATGGGAAGATGAATATGAAGTTTCATCTAAACAGGTACACTTAAAAAATGTCGTAATTAAAATAAGAAAAAGAAACAAATGCAATTAAATGGTCTTCTATGAAGCATTGATTTGGCATTTATCACTTTGTATTGGTGTCAGATTTGTGCTTGACACATCAGAACATGTATGATATGCATGGATGCTGCAAAAATAGAAAAATAAGTTGGATAAGGTCAACGTCTCCAGCACGGAAGGGTTATGGCTGGATGTTTTTTTCTTTTGGTCTTCTAAATATGAAATGTACAGTACCAGCTAAAATGAAATAGCAACCCACAAGGCCACAATGAGCACAAAATCCCTGACAACCCATCATTAAAATCAATATTTTAAAACCCAATGACACACTCTATTAAGAGCTGCTTAGAAGTTCCTCTTTGTAATTTCTTCCTTAAAATATGTAAACTTTTAAAATTATCCTCTGGCTTGTGTAAAGTTTTATAAGCACTGGCACACGTTATATCACGTGCATTGCAAGCTTCTGAATACAGATTGAGATAATTTGGGCTCTGCTTTGTGTTGGGCGTTTGACCTCTTATTTTTTACACTAGGACTGATTAATTGAAACTCCTTTTGGGGGTAAAAAGTTTAATGATAAGAAATGTGAAAATTTGATTGTATGTTTATGAAAATTATCAACGTTTACATTATATTGAATATTTTGTAAAATAAATCAATATAAAAAAGATTCTTTTATCATTCTGATTTGCCATACTGAAGTCCAAAATAGAATTATGTCGTCATATCACCTTTATTGCATGTATGTCGATGCTCCCGAGATGGTCTCTTTTGAAGGTTAGAACGTTTCACTTCATGGATTAAGTCTTTTATATCTCCATCTTTATAGACAGACCTGTTCTTTTAGTTTATATTGTTAAGCTCATTTTTGCTGAAATCATGATTATCCCGTGGATTATTGTTTCTTTGTGCAGTGCATGCATGGCCCCAATTGTAAGCTTGGCAATTTCTGTACAGTCGGTAGAAGAATCCGGGAAGTAAATGTTTTGGGCGGTCTCATTCTTCCAGTTTGGGGCACGATTGAGAAGGCCCTTTCTAAGCAGGTAACTTTATGTGCGGTCTGCGGTTTAATAATAATTCCTTGGCATCTGTAGTACTAAAGTGTTTATGAGGAAATTTCTTTTCCAAACATAGTCCGCATCTAGATTCTGAATTTTGTGTCTTTTTTTAATGACATGATGTAAAAAGTATCTTATTCTGACCATCAAATCATGTTTTGTTCACAATTTGTTTCATTGCATTTCATTGCTGGGATAACTATAACATTCTATCATTTCTTGGAAAGGTAATTGTAGAAAGAAGTCAGGATCATTTTTCTATCGGTTTTTTAATTTAAAGTTTTATTAGGAATAGCTGACTTCTAATATGACTTTAAAGATAAACTTCTATCTAGATTACAAAGACTCAAGACTTGTCTTTCTTATCATTCCTTCTGATACTCCCTCTCAAGCCGGTTAGTGAATATCTGTCATTCTCACCTTGTTTTGTGACCCTTCTTTTCCTATGTATGACTTGAAAGCATTTTGATGATCATTTATTTATCATTATATTGAATTGATTACTAAAACTTATCTTTTCAGGCCCGTCTCAGCCATAGGCGACTTCGTGTTGTACGGCTAGAAACCACTGCTGATAACCAGCGAATAGTTGGTCTTCTTGTTCCTAATGCAGCAGTTGAAACTGTATTGCAAGGTTCTTTCTCAATTTCTCACCTTTGTGCATATTATTCTTTTACTTCACTGTTCAAATATTAAAATCTAGATCCCCCCCCCCAGCAAATCTTTTAAATGGCGTGAATATACGAAACCGAGATTTCTGAACTCTTTGGATGCAGATCTGACATGGGTTCAAGACATTGACGATTAAGAGCTAGTAGCGGCCATTCTTTTCCTAAGTGTGAGTTTTGTGACAGCTTTTTGAAGCATAGACAGAAAAAATTGCCATGCACCATTATTTGGGATGGTGCAGCCTTATTCATACTGATTTTTTGTTTGTTTTGCTATAATTTTGTATATCAATATTTTTCTGAAAGGGAAAACAGACAAAATAGATCCCTAGGTTGTGTATTCATTGTAGCAAAACCTGAAATAACTTGAAAACTAACCTGTAACCAAGTGCTTATTCAAGTTATAGCTGCAATACATTATTCATTTTTTTTTGTTTGTTTAAAATTCATTCATTGAACAGAAAAACACAAACGGTAAATATATTGATACAAGATTGATAAATCAAATAGTGCAAGACAGTCAATTCAATTTCATCAACCACAATTATCTGAGCAAACCATGTGAATTATTTGTATCTGTAGCAATAGCAACAGAAGATTATTTTTAAACTATCAGCAGACAAATGGAGCATCAACATAATGGTCGCTGCAGTAAAGGCCAGGGCGCTGAGTGAAACCCTGTTTTTTAAGCATATGCCTTGCCTTCAGCACAAGCTCCTTATTAGTAACTCTGCCATCTGAAGTTGCAATTATGGTTTGAATGGCATTGCTAAGTGCTCCATAAGCTTGGTTTGGTTTTCCTGACGGGGTGGCATCTGCCGAAGTTTGGTCGCTCTGGCAGCCGCTGATAAGAATCCCACTGTCTGGAAGAGAGTGTTTAGATGCTCCTGCATATGCATCTTTCGCACTTCTCACTTCGGTCTCGAGTGCCTGTTTCCCATATCCTTGGTCATGATCCAGCTTTGCTTTAAGAAACTGTAGTGCACCACCAACCTTCCCCATGAACCCGCCACCCTCACCATCACCGTTGCCCTGTAGTTTGGTCATGATGATCTTCATAAACTTTTTCACTTTGGGGGTTGCATCTTCTCCGAACGCATTGAAAAGAGTCGGCCTCAGATTCCCGACGTCAATGTCGTCTTTGCCAGTTTTCTGCTTGAGCATTTCAATTAGAGTCGGGAGGGGCAAAGATCTGCTTGTCACATAGGTACCATCATCATAGCCTTCCACCTCTCCTCCGTCATCCACCTCGTCTTCGTGGTGGTGGCGTCGAAATTTAGAAGGGATATGAATTCCACGTGACTCAACACCTTCCACAGTTCGGTGGAAGAAGTTCTTGAACCCAGATCCTGATTCTGAATCCTTGAAGCTCTCACCAATTTGCTCTTTGGCCTCATCAATTAGCCCCCCACTATGGCATGAATCCGAAACGATTGTTAAGCGGCAACCTGCTGGGACTTTATCCACTAAGTCTCTAAAATCATCATCTGTGCATAACCAAACACCCCCAATTAAATTATATCTGAATTTAAAATTTTCAGAAACACGACGTTTCAGTTTATCCGTGACCACCATTGTCTTTTAACCACCACCCAACAACCATAAACAAACCAAGCAAAACAAAAGAAGTTATCTATCTAATATCAATCAAATAGGTATACAAGCCATACATTCAGATAACAAAATTCCAGAATTCAGATCCTATAATCCAAGCAATTATGTTTCTCTATCAATGAAATGGAATATGAAAGAGTATCCACGAACAATATCCACAAATTCAATTCAACCAAAACTACAAAAAGTACGGACCATATAGAAACTTTCAAAATACGTTACCACAGTAGAACAAAACTAAATCCGATCATGAGAAACGCATGTCTATAATATATAGCATATATATCAAAGGATCAAAAGAAACAGAAAGTGAAAGGGAAGAAGAACCAGTGATGAGATTCATATCGCAGGGCACAATGCACTCATCGTAGCCAGTATCGTCATCGTCCCCGGTCTCAGCAGGAAGCCTTGTCCCATGCCCACTGTAATGAACAAACAGATAATCCCCAGGCTTAGCCGATCTCACGAGACTATTCAAAGCCCTTCTAATGTTCTTCCCCGTGGGCCGAGAATAGTTATCATCGGTGTCTATCAACACCTTAATGTCCTCATTGGAGAATAAGTAGCGTTCTAAAAGGCATTTGTACATTCTCTTCACGTCGTTTATGCACCCTTTTAGCTCCGCCTTTGTGCCTGGGTAGTTGATTCCGATCAACACTGCCTTCTTCCCCATTGAATCAAATCTCTAATTTCTTGGCACAATTCAGGTTGTTTTGGCTTTGATCAGAATGATGGCAAAGCGATTGTCTTTTTGTAGATGGTAAACGACTGACTATAGGCTGGCAAAATTTGATTATCTTTGATGTTTGTACCATTTATAAATTATTACTTTGTTAATTAATTAAATCCCTTCTCTTTTGTATGGTTATTTTATTTCTAATCTCATATGTGCAAATAATGATTTTATATATTTATTTTTTAATTTACTAAAATAGTATATTTTTACAATCTCGGTTGGTATACAGGAAGATTGGTCTCAATTCTAAACTATATTACTCGGTTTGCATTATTTTAATTCATTATACTTGTATTGATTTTAAGGTGAAATTATATTTTCTTATAAATGATTGGTTAATATTAAAATATTGGAAATAAATTATCAAAAACTATTTCAGATAAAAATGCAGTTAAAATATTATTGCACATTGAATTTGTTTCATATGATTTTCTATTGTGTGACTTTTAGTCTTATTAGAGATTATAAATTATTAATTTGTTAATTGCAGGGCTGCCTCTAATATTAGTCTAATCTGTAGAGTTAGTTGTTATAGTTGTTGTAAGTTATACCTATTGGGCCATGCTGATAATCACTAGGCAAATGTGATTTGTGATTGTTGTAATTGAATTTAATTTTGATTAGTTAAGTTCCTTACCATTGTATAACATACTGAACTTATTCATCTCTCTCTCTCTCTGGGCACATAAAGAGCTAAACTAACATATTAAATCAAGGTCCTGTGGTCAGTTCATCGGCCTGGAAGCTTGGGAGTGCTCTCCTGTAGGTTCTGGAAAAATTGTTCTTGTAAAGTCATAGGTTCCCAGCATCTTTGCTGGTGCATCGACTACTCCATTTGCTTCTCGTCGGGTTTGCGCAATTGATAGTGTCCAACTCCTGTTCCCCATGTTCCTTATATGTTGCAGGATGGTTTTCGATCCCTCCTCTTGTTTGTTCCTCCAGCATAGCCTAAATATTTTTGCACTGTCGGTACTCGGTTTCCATTATCACCTTCCTTGCTCCTAGCTTCCAAGCATGCTTTAGTCCTTCCAAAATCCCCCACAGTTCAGCTTCGATCATCGAAAAAATCCCCACAGCTTTCGCGAAGCCTAGAATCCAGTATCCGTCTTGTGATTCTCATGCTCCATCCGTGATCACTTTCACCCAATCACTCGAAGAAGGCTTCCTCCGATTTTCCTTAGTTGACTTTGGTTTCCAGAGGTTGTTTATTTTGGCAACAGCTTCCATGGCTAGCCTAACCTCCAACCAGTGACGGATCTGGAAATTAAAAAATAGAGATCCAAAATTTTAATACCCTATTCTAAATAAATTTGGGTATGCAAATTTTCTTTTTTTTTTCTTTTTCTATTAACAAATTAAATTTAATTTAATATTTTTCTCAAAATAATGGGTGTGCAATGGATCCCCTAAGGAGCCATGTACATCCGCCCCTGCCTCCAACTGTAATCTTTTGCCCTACTCCATGATGGTTTCCTATCCCAATTTATATGGGTCAAAAACACACTGGTTTCTATGTTTCTAAAGGGACCATATTAACTATCCAAACAGCAGGTCCCATTCTTTTGTGTTCATCGCAAAATAACTTGGCTTTTCAAGGTTTATCAAGATCCATTCTTTAGTATTCATGGTGACGAATTCATGAAGTTTCTCAGACCGGATCAGTTGTTTCCAGATTTCCGTAACAGGCGAGCACTCGCGGAGTAAATGTTTCAGATTCTCCTCGTTCGAATCGCACACTCTACAGTTCGGTCGTGTTCCCATGCGTCTTCTCACCCTTTCACTATATGTTAGTGGTTTATCACAAGCAACCAACCATATAAAAACTTTCAATTTTTCAAAATTGGCTTGCTATCTTAGTCCAAATTCAGCCCTACATATTGCAATTTGGCTTGCTATGACTAGATTCAGCCATGGCTAGCTAGATTGGCATTGGTCTAATTCAAATATGGTTGCAGGATTCAAACCGCGGTCGTGTTTTCGGTTATGTCTCGTGTACCACTACTGCGGCCACAGCGGGTATATCAGAAGGCAGCGCTACTGCTATTTCGCGGGATCTATTGTGGTCGCGGACAGTTATTTAAAACCCTGGTTGCATGTTAAGGCTATGCAATTTAAATCAGTTTGGGTGGCTAGAAAAAAGTTGAACAATTTTTTGTTTAACCTACATACGAAATTAATCATAATTATTCAATTTGAATTAGTGAGTATAATTTTATTATTCTTTTTTTTTCTATTTGGGGGAGGGGTTTCTTGAAGTTGCTATTTCAGCACAGGGTACTTGCATTTACCATTGGGTCGAATGATCAGGTTAAATTTTGTCAAGTAAAGACCTTTGTTAATTCTAATAACAAATTTTATTTTTTCAAAGATTTCAAATCACAAAAAGATGAAAAATAAACTTGTAAATATTTTATTAATTAACATTTTTTATAATATTTCTTGAGGGTCAAGCTATCAAGCTATCTTCCAAATACGTTGTCACTTGTTTGCAAGTGTTTCTATTTTCTATGACACAATGGGGCCATTGGTAATTTCAATATTACTGTAATTCCGCCTGATTTGGTAATCTCATTGCTACGTTCTTTTCCAAGGGCTATTAAGTCACTCATATGCTACATTCTTTTGTTCAAATTCATATCTGCCAAGCTTCACTCAGCCTGTGGTTTTGAGTTCCTGTAGCCGCTTTGATCACATTGGGCTGCTTTTAGTTCCCTTTTTGCAAAATCTAAAGTAATATTTACTTTTCAGCTTCAACTTTTCTTCCCATGTTTGCCAAAAACTTTTTCTCTGAGGAGGTATTTTGCTTGATGTTTCAGAATTTTTATTGTTTCCCTAAGTGCTGATGCATATTGTTTGTTTACATATTGCAGTTGGCAGGCACTCCAACCGTGTATCCTCAGAGACCCGGACAAACTGAATGTGATGTGCGCATCAATCCATTTTGTGTT